CTCATCCCTGGGTCTCCAGCTAAATGGCATGGTATCAGCAGTACGCAGTATCGGTGTTCTGCTATGACGCAGCCACCACCAGTCGCGCACGGGCTAAGGATACTGCGAGGATCGTCTGGTTTCCTACGCAGGCTCTCAGGATTGAGAGGCAAGTTTGTGACCCTTAAGGTCAAGAGCCGGTGGTCTCCAACCAGGAAGAGTCAAAGGACGGAAATTGCATGTACTGTCGTCGAGCGGAAAGCTGACAACCACGCGGTAGTCTCCAGCCTAATCCTGCATGAGCGAATAGGACGTGGTGCGGTAAATGCTCGGGTGTCGTGCGCACTACGTGACATTGCCATCTTAACTGCCACAGCAAATCCACCTCGCTGAAGGGAGTATTCGCATTATGGGACGCGAGTCTACCCTCATAACTGAGATCCTCCTCAAACACTCACTATGGAAGGAGGAAAGTCAACACATGTCATTTACGCAATTTGACCAGGGCTCGATCCTATACAAAACTAAGCGAAAAGAGGCGTTGTGAACCCCGCCCCTTGCTGAGGAGAGGAGACATCCCGATGACGTCACAAGTGCCTCAGATAAACAAATGCCGACAGTCTTGAGCGATGCGGAGAGAAATTTCCTTTTGGGTGAGAGGCTGAGCATCAGAATATGATTTGCGCGCCGTTAGTAGAACTAGCCGCTCATGTCAGTTGATCTGCGTGAGCCTCGAAACGGCCTATCGGGTACGAGTGTGTCTGATAGGCGATCTTAAGCGTTTTTATCACCATAAACACGACGGCAATATTCCGCATTTTGGCTAATGATGCGGATAAAATCCACCTTTGAGGGGCATGGAGCCAACTTGAGGATGGAAGTGAATTCGGCTGAACAATGTCGACTGGATTGCTCTTTGAACTCGCGGTGTACATGGATTCAAAGATGCAAGCAGTTGGCCCCACGGAGTGAAAGTCGCCAGACTGCAACCGAGGCTGATAGATGCGGGTTTTAGTGTTTCATCATCCACAGCTGCACATCACTGCCTGGCACGAATGCTTGGTTGTAATACACAACCAAATAATCTTACCAATTTGTAATACTATGCGATAACGAGGACACAAAGCAAAACTCCAAAGCCCCCGGCAAACATCCGGGGTCAAGATATTTGCGAAAGTGTGCAGTCGCAAACGGCTGGTTAGCATACGAAGACAATGTGACGTCAGTAAAACCGCTTTTTTGTGGCTTTCACAGTCCCGTGCCGCGATCATCAATTCTACCTCAAGGATAATTCGTGAACACTTCAAACAGGCATTCCGGCTAAGTTTCCATAACGAATACGCTATTTGCATCCATTGAAAATCATGTTCTTCAAGTTCTTGAGCCAAATGTGGGACATTTCGCGTGGACGCCAGCTTGGAGGGGAAGACTAAATCAACAGCACAGGCCAATGAGGTCACTCTCCGTTCCTGGGTAAAGGTTGTCTCCAGAGAGCCTTACACCATCTAACATTTCGTAACCAGAGGTAATTGTAGCTTTAGCAACTTCAGTGGTCACCGAAGGTTAAAAAAATGCGGATTAATCAGCCCTCTCCGACTAGTCACCTTCGAGGATCAGGGAGTAGCAAATAGCCAGTGGCCCTGCAAAGGCGCTTTGCACTTTGAAGGTGTGTATCTCATGCAATGGGACGAGACCGCTCGATACATTTTGTCTAGGACTGGCTTTGCGATATCGTGATTGTCAAACAGCAACAGGGTGTATTTGGCGTAATTCAGATCAATTGTGCCCCCCCCCCCTAGCAGCATCTCTAAACGTGCATCAGGATGTGTCACATTGAAGCCTTCACTGGTGCACGCTATGGTAAAAGTGAACGGGAATGGATAAGTGAGACAACCTTGGCGAGTGCGACTTATGGATGGAAAAGCGTCCGACAAAGTGGCCTAGACCCTGGAACTATCCGCGGTGTTCGAGCGCAAGGAACGTAGAATATTCACCTATTTCACAGGAATACTTTATCTGAACAACAATCACACTGAACGGAATGCGGTAATCGACTGAGTTGAATCTGCTCTTGAAATAGTCGGACGTTAGTATAAACGCCACGCAATATGTGTGACACTGCTCTGCCAGTGGCTGATCTAGGCAGCCAGTCTTGGCCGGAAGCCGGTGTGCTCTTCCTTACTCTGGGATCCCTGTTTTGCAATGAGGCGACTTCGTCATTACAGGCGCCAAGCGCATGTAACTGTGGTTAAAACTCACGTTGCGACGCATTCCTAGGGAACTGTTATCCCACATGAACGGGGCGAAGTCAATACCTTCTGGATAGACTCACCTCAATGCCTACTTTCTCGTGAATTGTGAAAGCTCCTGGTTTGCCAATCGAAGGAACCGTCTGTTGTGCCCTCCGGGACAGTTGAGAGAAAATCGATAATGTACTAGGGCTTGCTCAGAATCGAACAAAACTTTCCGAAAAGACCAGCACCCATGGGTCGTCTCATGCCGCTTGAAACCTATGGCGATCTCGTTTACTCCCGTTCATTGGATGCCAGTGACAGGAGAATGTCAAATGATACATCGCCGTTTACCGTGCCCCAAGGTAAAGGACTGGGCACCTGCAATAATTGACAAGTAACTGCAACGAAAGCTCGTGTGCTCGTAGAGAAATACGAGCATCCCATATGACTGAGTTTGTGAAGGGACTAGATGAGTTGGTTGCTCATTCAAAGTCAAAGCAACCCGAGCTCTACCTGATCTGATAGAACCGCGAAGTAGTATGTTAAACTCGTGCTAGAGAAGGAGGCAGCAGTAGTACCCTGGCACAAGCTACCGACAATTCGTAAATACACGACCATCCACAGTCGCATGTGAACTGGTTATACCACGAGGTCACTTGTACCTACATGGGAGAATCGAAACGGTGACTTCCGGACTGCAAGGCAAGCGCGTAAGTCTTTCAGCGACCGGCATTACGACTGCAATTGTTTGTAGAGTGCGCTGCAACTACGAACGGTGCTTCGAGTTACACGCACGAACCCCAGTTGGCGTTATCAGATAGATCACACACGAGAATCCAACCGAAATTTGGCTGAGGAGATAAAAAAGATGTAGGGCAAAAAAGGTGGAACATGCTGGAGCTTGACACACAACCGCTGCATCAACCAGATGACAGGCTAGGTAAAATTAGTTAGATAGCCACACGAAAGTAGTATAGTCTGGTTTGGGAGATGCAACGCCGATGCATCCTACGTGTGTGCAAATGCAAGCGACGGAATTGACTTCGAATTCGGACGGTGAACTCCGCCAAAAATACCCAGGCAGTATGGCTTGATTGGGTTTTTACTGATAAAGGTATTGGATGTCCTAGTAGCATTGATACAAATAATAAGGCTTCAGTGGAACTACACTGCTGGCGCCGGAGTTGGTGACCATGAGAAACAGAGATGTGCGAGAAAAGAAGCAAGGGAGCACCAGCCGTGGCGCGTTTTCGCTCAGCTATCCTGCTGTATGCAGCAGAAAAGACGATTGTTTGAAATGGCGCGACAGTCGATGCTGGAGGAGAAGTTTACGGTTGCATGCGGCCACGGTACCCAAACATAGACAGGAGGGATGTCATGCGCAGTAGTCTGATAAGTATTACGACGTTACTATGGCGTGCATGTGTTCTGGACACAGCCCATAACAATTCTGATGGAATGAAACGGTGTGGTAGGTGCTGTCCGTAGTTCGACTACAGAGTGGGACTCCAGTGCGAATATCCTTAATATAAAAGACGGTTCGATTTGGCTGCCTATTTAAGCAACAGGACAAAGAGAGGTTCAAACACAGCGGAAAAGACTGCGCCCACAACTGAGCTGTACAATCGCGTGATACTCTTAGGATACAAAGTCCAAGGGTGATTATTTTCGTAAAAGTGCCTATGTTTGGCCTTGACTAAAAAGTCATCTTCATGAGAGTCAATTTGTGGACGCATTGAACCTGCGAGATAACCACTGAAACAACATATTCACAGCTATATTGAGCTTAGGATAATAAACCTGCGGTTTCCGATAGCCTAATACGATGCATCTGCAAACTAGGTTAGTAACCACTGATAAATTTCAACGATGGTATATCTCACTGGTAAGGAAGTAACAGATCTTGGGCAGACATCGGCAAACCAATTGACAATAACCGAACTATTTCGCTATATATTCGCGCTGATCTTGTGACCCGTAAATAATAGTCTTCCATGAATGAATTTCTAGAGGAATGTGCTACCAACCCGCAAAACAATCGGTTAACCGATAATGACTATCTGAAGGCAGCTAAATATCGTCACATAGCGCAGCTAGGGGGGGGGGGGAGAAAAAACGCGCTGCGATCAAGGTCCATCGCGCTATCCATATGGCTGGAGATAAATAATGCAGAAGCGACTCAAGTTTTAGACACTATATTCGACCCTAGTCAAAGTGATAATCAGGTTCGCGATGTACCCTCGTGTTGCTTGATAGTACAACTTTTCTCGAGATGTACATAACAAAGGAATATTGGTTTCGCTGCAAATGTAGGCCTACATTAGAATTACATGTGAAACGGAAAATGCAGATGTTAATGTACCGGTTTGTCAAACGACGTGTTGCATCAACACTCGTGAATCAACTCGCTCGCGTCAAATTCCATCTATGACCGAAGATCTGAAGACCCGACATGGAAAGCCTCTTGCTGACTCGATCAACCTATGCTCAAGATGATAACAGTTGGTACCAGCCCAGAAATGACCAAGATGTTAGAATAAACCCTTATACTTGAAACACACAGGGAAATGATGAGATGGTGAGATTAGCTCTGTCAAGGCGTACACTACCATTCGTTCAGTCAATGCCAAGACCCGAGTTTTTACACGGATGGGGACAGCTAAGATTCCAATGTTACACATTAAGAGGTAAGGGGCTATGCAAAGAGCTTTGCGAGCGAACAAGCGCAACATCTTCGCACCATAAGTAGGCCGCGGAAGCGGAGGATCGGTTTGTGAAACAACTCACTTTGACCTTTGTGTCCATGCCAGCTGAAAGTAGCAAGTGACCGGTTTTGGGAAACAGTCGAATGGCGGCCACTCCACGAGCATGGGCATTGTTCCACTCGTGAATCATTCGTTTCGGCAGGAAACATCGGTCTACCGGGTCGGTGGATCGGAGGTTGACGTTCGGTATATCATGCGGAGCATGTAAAAAGCTACGACCCTGATAAACAAAAGTGTCGAGGCGAGACATTAGAGACGGACAACGAAGATTAAGCGCGTATGCGAACCAGATCTGGTACTACTCAGAGACGGAACAAATTATGCATCTACTGACATCTATTGCCAAGAAGCTATTAGCTTATAAAGGTGGGCGCCACACTACAAAGCGATTTAGGTCTACAGCAAACAGGCGGGATGCTGATCCAGCTCAACAGTGGGTCTTGTTACAACACAGAAGATAGGGTAGACAAGCTTACGTAGTACAGCTGGACCAATAAACTACCAAGTGTGCCGGAGTAGAATGAAGAGCAAGTCTTCGGGCCCAGATTCCATAGACCATGAAGGAATGGGTGGCGGTTCAGTCCATTGACCAATATTACTAGTCATTCGACAATTAACAGTAACAGGAGGTGTGGCATGAAAGCCATTAAACCCGCGTAGGTGAAATATGTAGGCGAAAACTGGTGGCGACATTTATCGGCTTTAGATCATACACAGTAGTCGAAACGTCAAACATCTAACCTCACCTGATAGTCCACTGCTGATGGTATGTGTAACACGGATTTCTCTTCGACAGGAGCCTCCTCGACAACTCGTCTTTTTGTGGCTTTCTTGGCCAAATATGCCTCCAGATAGACCCGGTCTTCTTCAGAAGGCACGGAAACGGTGACTTCGTCCTTGTATTTCGCCCAAGGACCAGTGTAATCTTCACTAGTTGGGTCCCAGTTACTGTCACGCTTTCGAACGTCTACCTTGGGCTTCTTTGCTTTTTCGAACACGGTTTTTCCTGTGGAACAACAGGAGGAGATGGGATGGCTTGTCTCAATGATTTTAACCACTATGCTCCCAGGTCCAAGAAACAAAGTATTGGTAGGTTTTAAGACTCATATGGCTGTGATGACAAAAAGGCATCAGTAGTACGCTGATACTCAGTACCGACGATTCGCTACCACGCTACCACCAACAGTCACACTTGGGCTAAGGATACTGCTGCGATGGTTGCCCAGTCCCTGCGCAGGCTCGAACCCGCGCCCTTAGATAACAAGGCAGGCTTGTGATCCTAAAGGTTAAGGTACAATGAAATGAAATAAGGGAAGAAAGTGGAAACTTCAGTGTATATATTTGCAAAAGTCTGTTAACAGACATAATGCTATCAGAAACCATGGGAATCAAACGAAAGTACAGAAATAGTAAAATAAAACACAACACAACAATGTCCATGGTTTCCTCAGAGGGCGAGATACTACCCGGTTGCCCAAGCCGAAGTAGGGTGTTGACTTAGGGGACACCACCCCGAGCCTGTGGCTTAATAGCCTGCCCGCAAGGCAGCTGAGCGAATTCAGGGAAACTTCAGTGAGAGTCAGTCGTATCCGCTTCTAGGTCAGAAAGCCCACCACACATTCGGGAAAGTACTATACAGCCGGACCGCCTTGTCGGGACACGTCAGTAGTGTGCACCCCTCGGTCCCACCAGGAACCGACCCGTTGATCCCAGTGGCTTGTGTTAGTAAATTACAAGTGATGGCGCCAGACCGTCATGAGTTGCAGGACAAATGGGAAGTAGCGCAGCACATCCTCTAATGCAAGCTACGAACTTAGCAGAGGACAGGGCTGATCCTTAGAGCCACGGCTTCTCACGCAACAGTCATGTACAATGCAGCACTTAGGAGCTGGACAAGTGGATGTTGTACTTACCCAGTTCCTGATAAATTCGAATGACGCGCACTATTGACGAGTTTGGATAGGATGGATCAGTCATACAAGTAAATTTCAGGATAAATGGCAGGCTTCCTGACTTGTAAGTTATTGCGTTGAACGCTCACTAAAATCTGATCTGCGCAAGAAAACAGTAAATGGCTGTGGGACGGTTAAAGATTAGAAGTATCGGATCGAAGGTGGGCAGAAGCGACCGCTTGACCTGGCTGGATGGATGAGATCTAGTTGTTGAGGTGAGTGATCCTGAGGCCCCCATCCAAGAAATCGGTGACAGGGCGGCTCATGAATCTGGATCGCAACCCACAACTCGTTAGTTCCACTCTGCACTTGCGCGGGCAATTATGCATTGGCTGCTAGTAGTCACGTGGAAACAAAGCACGGAGTACTGGCGTGCTTCTAGTGCCTGCTCCGTTTGCCATTTAAGCAAATGTCACGTACCGTCCGGATCATTATCTTCGCCTAGCTACTTTACCTCCGTCATACCATGGAGTGGTCATACTGAGTATCAGGTCAACTATGGGCGATACCGGGGGAAAGTAGATGCTAAGTCATGTGGAATGCCAATGAGCAAACACCGAGGCCTCCCCAAAGTACATGGTGCGAGATCGTTAAGAAGTGTCGCGCTGATCGCTGCACATTTGCGGAAAAACGTTAAGAAACGTTGTGGAGAAAGCCGGCTCTAACCCAAGGTGTTGCGAAAACACGACGCGCAAAACATGGTTAGATCAGACAGGGATACTAGAAGACCACCAGCGCCTACGCAGGCTCGGACCGGTGTGACACGTGTATGCCGCCCATCATCTACGTCATGCGGAATTCAATAAAGTAACCGGAATAGTGGTGAAGAAGCAGTTTGGCGATAAGCGCTTTCATCTATTGAATAATGAATGCTGATAACAGAGAGCTAGTAGATATATCTATCTGTGTTGTCCCGTCGTAGTTGGATCGGGCACGTGCACGGAATCACGCCACGGATTCCTGCACGTTTGCAGAGTATTCCAGCTGCGCCGTAGGCTGTTCGGGTGCGATGTGCCGCTCCCCAAATCTGAGATCCGTAAAGTACGTACCTAGGAATTGCTTGAATTCCGACACCGAGTTCGTCTCGACCATTGTTTCGGATAAACTGTTCCAATATCTCATCGCTTGCCGCTCGAAGCATAAAGGATGAAATAAAAGCGAAAATTGGTAGGTCAGTTCGACTGCCAACATAGAGGGTGACCTAACCTTTTTAGATCCGGTACCACAAACTTGTACCGGTGGCCGCCAGTACTGTTTAGTGCGCGCGCGTGTAGCAGCGGCCTCAGCATGAGAAAGTGACCCAAGTGTAATATCCGGTGCGTCATTATGAGGTCCACACAAGACCGACAATATAAGTGTACAACCCTAGTAGCCTACATCGGTCTTCGTACCACATACCCCGCAAGTTGAGGATGAGTCTGGTAGCTACACGCTGGAGCCGTTCCAGTCTCTGCTCCTAGTCACAAGTGGTCCGTACATTAGTACCGGTTTTAAGGTGGAGGAGAAGAGGCGCATGACAATCTCTTCAGATCAACAACGCTGCACTCCTCGACCGATTTTGTACGCACTTGGATTCACTAGTCAAAGATGGTAGGAGTGCGACTCGAACTCGGGATCTTTCGGATGTCACCCGGAACGCTTTCGAAACCGAATCGCAGCGTGTAACGCTTATCACAACGGGTAATGTTGTGAGCGGGCAATATCCAATATTTATCCGCTTCAGACGCAGTCCCAGTGACCGGATCGACCCAAATTCACTTCAAAGTGAGTTGTGATTCGAATTAAGATTTCGTGTCACAATATATTCACACAATGTATGCTTTTAAATGACCCATCCGATTGGCTTTCATGTGCTGCATACCCTAAGGTTTATGCAGATTAACCTACAGAAGGGATGTCAGAAATTCACTCGAGTGATAAGGATACGATACGATCGAACTGAAGCAATCTGAGAACCAGAAATGTAGCGCGGATAATTTTACAGTGAAGTAATGAGTGGACGAAGCAAATTCCTATAAGTGACGCGTTTGTAAGCCTTAGAGGTTTACTAAGACAGGTTTATGCCGTCAACAAGCAGTACAGACTCGGAGTTTATGGGGATTCGACTATCAAGAGAGCAAGAAAAGGGCGGTCGTGATAAACTCATCTATCAGCTCGTTCCGACTTAGGGATGGGTCCAATCCTAGCTGACAAAGCATAATACCGTGATTGAATGAATGGAACCAACAACCTGAGTAATATTCCAATAAACTACCTGGGGTTCTTTTCAACACGCTGGATGCCCTTGAAGGCTACGGCGACGTGCACTGGCTATGGTCGGGCCAAATTCTAGGGAACGCCCAGTAGCCCTCATGTGCAAATTCAATGGTTAGAACGGAGCCGGTGAAACGTAGACAGTGACTATGCGAGGAAGACGGTCGCAGCTTGAAAATCTGGACTATATTCAACATAATCCGAAGCATTTTACTGGATCTCGCAACCATATCCGTATTACAGGTACCCGACTGTCGCACGTACTAAGTAAAACGATCAAATGGGAGACAAACGAGATTCAATTTTGTTAACTTGGCAAATTATTGCTTATGCTATTGTAGAGTGGGGCAGCCCGAAGTATATGTGGTCCAAGGTGGGATGATGACAATGAGGTTTAGGATGCCGCTGAAGGCAGAAACACAAATAAGGGATGTACGGGTTTGGGTCGGGAACCGTTTGCTGATAACACGTAAAAGCCTGGCTCCAGACAGTACCATATTGCAAGACCCTGCGAAATAAAATAAATAGTAATGTGTTTGTCTACGCGATTGCATACCCAAAGTTGAGATTTAAGAAAAGGACGGCGGTCATACCTTCATTACACTCGATTCTCTCTGGTTCACCAACCAGACGCCGTTCTTGACCCCCTTCAACAGACGGATCTTCAGCGTAACCTGAAAAGAGAAAGTCAGGATCGAAAAGTCAAAAGGCTAGATTTACCGAAACTCATGAAAGTTCGATGTTGGGTCTCGAAAGCGAAGGTATTTACATGGGTCTCTTCAACCAAGCCACTGAGAATGTTTTTCGGAGCAAGTTGTTTTTCAGATTTGAATGGGTTCGCTGGGCCGAACTGGAAAATAGTGTGAACTGTAAATGAGCAACAAATCTTACCACCGGAGCATATAGCTGTTCCACCGTCGGGTTATGAACTAACTCTCGTGACTGCGGATCAACTGGGATAATCGGTAAAAATTCATCCTAACGATTCAATGAAGAGAACGAAGACACATGCATACCTTGTGGATAACTTCGGGAGCGACATTTATAGTTGTTACAAACTGACTTTTCAAAACTTTGGGAGATGCAGTGTCTTCGGTGCTGCTGCTGCTGCTGTCGCCATCGGAAGACGACTCATAGGTCACCAAACCCGACATTCGGGACTAAGTATTGTCAATCCCACTAAAATGAACAGAGATGACAGTGTGATCGGCATCAAATCATAAGCTACGCATGTTGGTTGCACTGCTGAAATTCTATGATAAACGTATTAAGCAGGAGTTAAAATAGAGGATCGGAATAACGAATGGAATGAAACGTAAGAAAGTCAAGCACAGTCACTGTGCTCACTCTTGTCGATAGATGAAAATGGAGGGATACTTTAGAGAAAAAGGGTCAACTTGAGCCTCCACAAGCTTTTAGTTCAATTCCAGTTGATCCGCAAGCGGACGCGCGGCTGGATAAGTTGGCGTGATTCACGTATTAAGAAACAATGGGAACAGAAGGCACAAATAAAGACAATTCAAGAGAAACGAACAAAAAGTCAATTATTGGAAGCAGTCATTAAGAGAAGTAGGTGAGCGAATGCGGCAGTGTCGTCGACTTCACGACCGCATCATATGGGTGTTTTCAATAAGTGGGGTGTTTTACCTAGAGACTATTCAGGAAGACAGGATACAATAACCCAAGGAAGTCTCCTTGTCAATCTTCTGGTGCGACTATTTAAGTCCATCCATTAAGTACCCTGAAAACTCACTCATCAAAACGTAGTGTACGTGAACAGCACAAACCGAAACAGGTAGTTAACTAGTGTTCTAAAGCATTACCGAGCAAAAGTGGGTGGCGCAAGCGCAAAATGCAGCCTATAGCTGCACCAGGATTTCATGTAAAACATCAGTACTACTCAATCGGTGGCTCTACTAGACAACAAAACTATAGCATTAAACCCGATGGGGTATCTAACTGCTGATGACGTCCATTATTGAGCTATCACACGGGATGATCGCACAGTCCGACTCAACTAACTCTTACTACAAAGTTCTTCAATTAGTTCAGTTCAGTTAAACAACTATGAGCCGGGCGCCATCATCATCTACAACAAGAACAAGAGCAAAGCATCCGCCATTCGAGCTGATGCCACGTTGCCTTACACCAACGGTGACGTGCTGAACGAAGAATAATAAGAGAGAAGGGGGGACTAGCGTAAAACCTTAGTGCACTAAACAAACATCCAGGGTCAAGGCGCATACACTTTGTTAACAACACACGGTCACAAAAAGATGACTATCATTCTAAGATAAAGCGACATCGGCGAGACAGTTTCCTTGCAACTTTCACCGCCCCGCGTCATAAGTAGCCATTATCCCGCAGATAAATCAGCACCAGACACACTTTAGGCAGGCAGTCCCAATACGACACAACAGCAGACGCGACGCTGGTGTCGACTGCGAGCCGTGTCCTGCAACATCTCCAGCCAAGCACAAGGCGAGTCGAGTGGACTGCAGTCTGGGAAGTGAGACGAACCAAAGGTACCTGGTTTTACACTCAAAAATTTATTTCCCGCTGCCAAGTTAACTTTTACCAACCTTGAGCCATGCGGTACTCTACGTTTGGCAAACGAATCGAGGCCCTCCTCGGTAAGCGGTGACCAGGCATATGCAGTGCATGCCCAATACGAAACAAGATTCAGTGCTATCTGTTGTTATAAAGAACTAGCATGGTTATCAATTTATAGCACTAGTTTAGACATATTATCGTTGCGAACACGCTGCTACTATCCAACACCAACAATGCTTCGCAGGTATCGATGAGCAAAAGTTTAAAGGCACCTCAGATCGAAGGGCCAAGTCTCACTCTCATAGAATAGGACGGTCTTCACGGTGGCATTGTAAACACGGCCTTTCAGACAAACGGTAACCCCTTCCTTAAGCCACAGATTCAAGGTGGTTCTAGCTTTTGTAATACGTGAACTAACTTCACTGCTTATGCACTCACCGTTGTTGATATAGTTGATCAACTACCTCGAGTTCCTAGCTGTCAAGGGTCACTAAGTGTCGGGTGGTCTTGTAACAACACTGCATTTTGAAGGTGCGAAGCGCATAGCAAATAATGGGACCACTCTAAATACGGTAATCAGGGTTGACTGCACCGCCCCAACATCGTCGGAAAGCAAGACAATATTGTCCGCATAACCACGATCAACTAGATTTCTACCAAGAAGCTCCTCAACTCCCCCATCGTGAGACACCGCAAGGGAACACTCTATGATGGTGTCCACGATGAAATTGAACAGAAACGGGGAAATTGGACAGCCCTGACGAATGCCACTTGGTGTCAGATAGATATCCGTTAAGTCTTCGCGGACACTGGCAAGGCCTGTGGTGTTCGAGCACATGACACTTGAAGTGTTCACATGTGTCATGGTAACAACTTTCCGCGCAAGTACTTCATAAAGAATGGATCGATCGATTGAGTCCAACGCTCCTTTAAAGTCGAGGAGCACAGCTCTTGTCGGTTCGCGGTATGTGTGGCGCTGCTCTAGCATCAGTAGTACGCCAGTACGCAGTACCGACGCTCCGCTGTGCGCAACCAGCACCAATCGCACATGGGTTAAGGATACTGCGGGGGTCATCCGGCCCCTACGCAGGCTCGAACCCGCGCCCTCGGAGTACAAGGCAGGCTCTTAATCCTTAAGGCTACGGGCCGGTTGCACTAGCACCTGCCGCAAAGCGAATATTGTTATATGAATTGGCGGAGAACAAACACGCCGAGTGAGAATAAGTATAGCCCGAATGAATAGGCTTTATTCAGCAAGAAAGCGAATCGAGTAGGCTGAAAAGGGTATAGAAAGGTTGTGATAAATAACGACAGAAAAACGACTGCGAGTTAAACTTCATGTATGTCATTTTTTGTCATTCTCCCCGACAAGGTTTGTGGACAATGGTGTGGGGGGATATTTCTATACCTCGCGGTTACGCAAACAGTAAGCACGCGTTCGCTGTTGCTGCTCGTAAAGATGTGAAGGGTCAGGTGGACAAGGGGGGACAATTTGGGGTACGTGAGTGTCCGTTGCCGTATGAGTAGCTGTTTCATTGGGGGGATCTGTGGGAGGAGTAGAAGGGTTAGTGGATTGAGGCAGTCCTGACGGCGCCAAGTTGTGCAGCGACACAGTGTCTTCCTTTCCGTCGGGAAAGCGAACGTGAGCGTACCGGGGATTGCAGTCCAATAGCTCGACTAGTGGCTCATATTTTGAAGACCTCACACTACGGCACAGCAAGACGGGCCCTGGTGGTGTAAAGTAGAAAACGGATTGAGTGTAAAGCGTCTAACAGAACGCTTTCCCACTGGGTTATTGCGAGGCCCCTAGATCGGAGTGCAAGGGTGATCGATTTCCAGATGACGCCATTAATCCGCTCCACTTGTCCGTTACCTTGGGGGTTGTACGGCGTCGTTCGGCTGACTGCAATGCCTTTTTGGGTGAGAAAGTGTCGCACTTCTTGGGACATGAAGGATGAACCGCGATCAGAGTGAATGTAAAGCGGCATACCGAAGACAGAGAGAAGTTGGGTGAGACAATTAACAACTGTAGAGGCTGTCATGTCGCTGCATGCAAAGGCAAATGGGAATCTCAAAAATTCATCGACAACGGTAAAGAGATCCTTCTTGTTAGTCGATGACGGTAAAGGACCCTTAAAATCTACGTTCAACCTTTCGAAAGGGTGCGTTGCCTTAACGAGTGTTCCAGATGGCTTGTAAAAGCGGGGCTTAAGTTCGACACATACGCTACAGCGAGATGTCATTGATTTCACTTCCTCAACAGAGAAAGGTAGGTTCCGTGAACGAATCAAATGAAACAATCTAGTGACCCCTGGGTGACACAAGGTATCATGCAGTTCTTGGAGTGTCAGGGTGTGACTGGGAGGAGCAACAAGTACGCGATAAGGCGTCGGCGGCCACATTAGCTTTCCCGGTCCTGTAGACCAAATCATAATTGTAGCAGGAGAGTTCAATACGCCAACGCTGAATTTTGTCATTTTTGATCTTACCTTTTTGGTTGAGGTTGAACATGAACGAGACGGACCGCTGATCTGTAATAATCGTGAAGCGATTACCGATAGTGGCGCCATTTTCGGACTGACTCTACGGTGGCATGCGCCTCCTTCTCAACCACAGTATGATGTCACTCGCTAGGTGCTAGCGTTCGCGAAAAAAGGCGACTGATCGTCCGTTCTGTGTTAACATGGCCGCAATGGCAAGCTCAGAGGCGTCCGTCTCAACAACTACGGGTATTGATTCGTCAACAGAAATGACGACAGAAGATTCTATCATTCTTGAGCGTTTCCAACGAATCCAGAACCGAACAAGGGAGATGGAAGGATTGTTTGTTGATCAGTGGACGGATTTTGTCAGAGAAGTGGGAGATCCTCAAGGCGTAATAGGCAAAAAGTTCCACAGCACGTTGCTCCGACTTGACGTCAGTGGGCACAGAGAGGGATCTCAATGGGTGAAGCCGATCTGGGTCCGACTGTACAATCTTATGGGAAACTTCGTAACCCAGCAGTCATATCTTATTCGAGCGAATAATGCTTTTGTTTTCGTTGGTTAGGTTTTACTTCTGAGCGATTTCGTAAAATTCCACCAGATTACAATTGCGTTCATCCTCAGTAGTTCCGCACACTTATGTTATCTATGTAAGCGAAAGTCGCTTTCAGCTTTTCGTCAGTTATTTTATCTATAATTCTCTGGAAACAGGCTACGCCGTTACTTACACCGAAAGGTATACGACAGAATTGAAACAGATTTCCATATGCCTCAAATGCTGTGAATTTTCTTTCGGTTTCCTTGAGAGATATCTGGTGATATGCGCTCTTCAGGTCCAAGGTGCTATACACCGAGTAGCGTGAGATTTTGTCGATAAGAGCGTCAATTCTGGACAATGGGTATGCGTCCAGGTGAGTATACTGGTTGATAGTCTGGCTATAATCTATACCCATGCGGCGTTTATGGCTGTCGTTCGTAGTTATCAAAACTTGAGCTTGCCACGGCGATGTACATGGTTCGATAATCCCGTCCTTAAGAAGCTTCTCCACTTCCAGTCGTATGAACTTCTCGTCTGTGGTTGAGTGACGTCTCGATTTCGTAGCGATGGGTTTGAAAGTGGAAGAGTCATTCCAGAACAAGGA